GACATTGCCAGGGGGACCAAAATGTGGCAAAGCCCCAAAAAATGGCCCTGGCAGCCAGCCCTACCTTCTTCTCAAGAGCTGTGGCTGTGGCCTACCACTGGGTAACTAGAACAACCAAGAGCAGACAAAAAAGAGTGTCCTTTAGAGACAGTCTCGGTCCCTTGCAGAGTGACCTACGGGCAGCGTTGGGCAAGGCTCTTCATCTCTGCATGCCTCCATGCAATGCGGATAGCGATGATTTATATCATGTTAGCGTGAGGGTTTCATCCATGGAGATTTGCAAAATGTTGAGTCAAACTGAACAAGCTAAAGCTACCAAGTTGTTCTCACCACCAGATTCCTATTAAAAAATATCTCTGGGCAGTTTGAAAGCTACAAGCAACCACAGCGACCCCAGGTATGGTCATGGCCATAGAGTTTCAACAGCTTTAAAAGCCTCTTTTTTTCTCTTCAGATTTCTTTAATTTTACCTGTCCCCAAAGAGTACACATCCTTGCAAGAACCTGCAGGAGCTTCCAGACGAGTCACGCTTGGTTCACAATTTTAGCTATGCAAAGACCAAAAAAAAAAAAGTACAAAGCCTTTTCTTTTAATGGAATGGGTGTCGCACGGCAGTTGTGCAGATTGTGCTGCGGGACATCAGCTATGCAGCATTGCCAACCACAGGCATTCAAAACTCATGAGTCAAACTCCCCAAAACCCTAAGACTGTTCGTTCCCTTCTGGATTTTGAGCCTTGAAGCATCACAACTTCAAGCTTTTCTCTTCTGAAAATGACATTTTTGACCAACGGGATGAGAGCTGAGACCCTCACATCATCACTGGGCTCCAGGAATCGTGACTGTAAAAAAAAACCAACATTAAACACCATGAAAGGAGCAATAAACCCCTGCGCTGCTCCCCCGAGTCTGGCAGCGGGACAGCCACCCCAAGCAGCCAGGACACCCCGAAGGGTATGAGCAATGGAAACCTGTTGACAAGAAAAGAGATGTCCTCACCATTAACGGTGACATGTTTGTAATGGGCCATGACGGGGTAGAGGAGAAGAGTGAAAAAGCCCCTAAGGAAAAAAGAAGCAAGGATACCTGCAAGGAATACGTGCGATAGGTTTATTCGACAGGGAGATGGGAACGGGGGATTTTTTTTAAGGGCAAGTATTCAGCTAAAGCTGCCTAAAATGGGGCCAGGCCTTGAGGAGAATGGATATTTTAAGTGGCAATTTATTCTGCTAATAAAAAGAGAAGGATGCAGGTGCTTTGGCAGGGCTGTGGACGGCAGCGGGCGAGAGCTGCGGTTGATCAGAGCCGGGTGTGCAGTGCCGGCCGTGCAAGGGGCTCAGGCACAGCTGGTGTTCTGCATTTATTGGGCTCCTTTTCCCTGGTGCCAGGGCCCGTGTATGGATTTCAGCTCTCCAGAAAGCACTGCCCACACCGGCGTCTCATGCAACAGCTCTGATTGCAGGCTGCGGTAGGTGATGAGGAGTGTTTTGTCCAGATGCTACAGCCGTCCCTTCTCCAGCTGGGCAGGGAAGGGCTTGTGCCCATGGGCTGCCCCACGCTTGCACCAGGCCCTTTCATGCCAGGAGGTTTCTTCATCAAATTCCCAAGGCAGAGCAGCAAGAAGACAAGAAATCTTTGCAAGCTGAACGGTGCTGTGCTCGTCAAATTGCTCAGGGCTCCTTGGGGCTGACCACGCTGCTCCAGAGCTGCGGCTCTTGCACATCGTCCCGCTGAAACCAGGCCATCGTCCAGCTTTTTACCATCATCCCGAAGTCCAGAGCGCACCAGTCAAAGTGTTGTGGAGCTGAAAACTTAGGCTCTGAAGGAATGGAAGTGGTAAATAACACTTAGCAGTAAGCACTGAATTGGGGCAGCCGTCCGAGCGTACCTGCTCACACTGACGCTGGTACCGCAGCACTGCCAACGGCAAGCCTATACAGAAGCTGCAGCCTGGACTCTCCATTTTAGTGGTGTTGTCACCGTTATTTCGAACCTGGCAGTAACTGGGGACATGCATTGGAGCAGGCTTCAACTCAGGATACAAAGGATTCAAAGCAGGATATAGCCCACACCTCAGACAGATGAAAGATCATCCCATACCGATCCGAAGGAGAATATACCCTCCATACTCTCAATTGGCACAGATCCCTCATCCTCTGTTCCAATATACACTACTTTCAAACTGTCACCCTCATATTAACAATAAACCAAAACTATCTCTCCTTCACTGTAATGTCCGAGTTGAAAGTGCAGAAGTGCTTACAGAAAGTCACGGTTAATGTTACCCTGGAAGGATCCAGGACAGCATACCAGCACCTGGTTTTGGCACCTGGGAACCAGTTTTCAGCCATATATATCACCGTTCCTGCGTGCACTCTGGTCCACCCAAAATTAGCCCTGTGGAATGTAGATTGAAAATCCGCTTTCCAGAAGTACTTAAATGCAAGAGCTAAAATTTGCTTTTTCTACATTTCCTACCTGTTTAGGAGGGAAGGACCAAAGTCCTGGCCCTTTGTTACTTGGGTTCCTTCCTGGGAAGGTTTGCAAAGCCCACGTCTAGCACTGCGCTTTGTGTGCAGCCTGAACAAAGACCTTTTAAGCAGCAGCTCCCGACAGGAGCTCACCACCTGCCTGCCCCTTGCCTTGCACTTTACTTTGGGGGTCTCTTTTTCAATAATAGCTGGAACACACGTGCAAACCGGTGTGATTTTTTTTTTTTTCCTCTATGCCTACAGCGCTGGCTGCAAACCAAACGCCAGCCCAGGGTGTGCAGCTGGGAGAGAAAGAAAAAAAAACCACCAAACCAAAAAACAACCCAACAACCTGTGGAATGTTTTCTTGCTCCTGAGAGCTCCAAAACTTCCCTGCCCAGGGGAGCGTTTGCCGTGGCCGGCACTTGCTGCATCCAACGGCCAGCGGGGTTTCCTTTCCAGTGAACTCCAGCTCCATTTCGGGCAAAGGATGGGGATGAGGGGGATGCATTTAACAACTGCTTGATCATATCTTTCAACTGATGCCGTTTGGCTTGTTGCACAACCACCACCCTTGCACATCCTTGCAAATGGTGGCTTGTTGTACAATGGCCACGTCCTTGCAAATGGTGTCATGAGGGCGAGGGGGGCTGCTTTGCGCCCAGATGTGGAAGTTTGTCCTCACCAACAGGTTTCGAGCTCTGTTTTCACCTCTCTGACACCAACCTGATGGCCACAAAAGCAGGGCAGACGCAGTTTTCTTAGCAAAGGATACAGAGTGGTTTATGCAACCAGCTAACCCCAACCCCACTCAAAACCCTCGTGGAGACAAGCCCTGCTGTGCAGCACTCAGTGGCCCCAAGCACCTTCCTCGGTCCAAGCAGCTCATGCAAGAATAACACGGAATAATGGATACGTCTGAGGATATGGCACAGAAAAGGAACAGGGTACTTCGGGGCGTGCTGGCGCTGGGCTCTGCTTCCCGCTCAGGGCTGGATGCCTGCAGAGAAGCAGGCTATTTATGTGCTGGCTTGGAGGGATTAATTTTCATGGTAAATAGGGACACCAGATTTTTTCACTATTTATTGGTAGAGATTCAATTTTGCAGGGGTTTGTGGTAAGTTTATGGCTTGTCCAGGCAGGAGGGAAGCTGGAGACGTGGTGTGGGCAGCATCTCGCGGAGGGATGCTGCCTGCAGCCGACCAGGGAACGTGGACGATTCCTGCAATATCAGCTCAAAACGGGACCCCTACCCAGCTCCTCTCAGCTGTGCCCGAGGAAGGCTCTCGGCACAGCCCTCTCGGGTCAGTGCTCTAACGGCTGTCGTGCCATTCGCACTGCACACACAACACCTCCTCGCTCCCTCTCCCGGAGCCTTTTCCAACATAGCTGGAGTGGTTTAAAGAGCTTTTTTTTTTTTCTCTGTGTATGTCTGCCTTTCCACCGGACTCCCTCCTAGGGGACAGGCGAGCCCATCCCATCGGCCTCAGAAGTGGTGGCTCATATCGCAGCTCCCCCCCTCCTCCCCGAACCCACAGCCACAAAGGCAGTTGCTCAAGCGTAGAATTCCGGCTCCCTGCGTCCCGGGAACAGCTGTACCGAAAAGATGCCGAGAATCCCTGTGAGGCTCCAAGGAAAAGATATTAACCCAGGAGGGGAGCAGCAGTGATATAATAAAAAGTCATAATAAAAGAGAGAAGCCACTGAGTGGATTAGCAGCCCAAATGCTGCTTGGCTTTTGGTCTCCTTTCCTCCAGCTTTTCTGCGTCGCACGACGATTCAAATTCCTCCAACCCGGAGACGCTCAGCTCCTGAATTTCAGACAGATCTCCTGGAGGTGTCCAGGCTGCAAAGCCTGAGGGCACGGCTGAGAAATTTCACTGCACTGAACTCCCGGCGGGTGCCCAGGAGGGCACGTAGGCAGG